CCTTCCCCAGAATGTAATCAGGGATATCAAGCTATGTCAGGCTTGACATATGTGTGTGCGTGTATGTGTTATAGAGAGAACATGGGCTTTGGAATAAGCCTCTGTCGGAATCCTGTCATCATCACTGGCTATCTGTGTGCCCTTGGAAAAGTTACTTCACCTTACTGAACTTGTTTCTAAGTCTTTAAACTGGAGACAGTGATCCTTGTGGTAAGCAGAATAACTCCCCAAAGATGTCCATACCCTAATCCCTAGAGCCTGTGAGTATGTTACCTTACCTGGCAAAAAGGAGTTTGCAGGTGTCATTAAGGTTATTAATCAGTGACCTTAAAACAGAGAGAATATCCTGGAGTGTCTAGATGGGCCCAATCTAATCACATGAGCCATTAGAAACGTGTAAGGAGCTGAGAGGCTCTGACCACCAGCCAGCCAGGATAAGGGGCTTCAGTCCTGTAACAGCATGGAGCTGACTTCTCCCAACAACCTGAATGAGCTTGTAAGCAGATTCTTTCCCTGGAGCCTCCAGAAAAGAATGTGACAGCCCTAAGCAGAGAACCCAGACAAGCCTACCTGGACTTCTGACTACAGAAACTGTGAGCTAAAAAATTTGTGTTATTTTTAACCCACTAGATTCGTGTGGTAGTTTGTCACAGGGCTGTTGTGAAGATGACATTGGATAGCACGCAGTGCCTCTGCTCCACCAGGCTTGGCTCCTTTTCCCTTCAGGCTACATGTGAACAGCATTTGTTAAAGAAGGATTGTATCTGAACTGCTGGCATAGATTATTCCTTGCACTTTCTCTTTAGGCTTCACCCCTTCTATGCTTGGTGACTCAAGATTAGGGGAATGGCTTCATCTGTGAAGAGCATCCAATTCTGATGAAAAGTCACCTTTTCCCCCAGATGAAGAGTAAAGCTAAAGCAGACCTCTGGTCTGTTCCTTTCTGGATTACTTTGCTAATGCCCCAATGCCAAGGGGAGATCCCCTGGGGTCATCCTTTCCTGCTGCTCCTAAAGTACACAAGTCTAATTGAGTTCCATAAGGGAGGACCCTGCTTGTTCATTTTCAATGGGAGTATGGGAAGATAAAGGATATGGTCTTGGCATTTGCAGTCATATGACAACTGGTGACCATGGCATGCCTACAATTAATACATCTTCAGAACTTGGGGCTCTGGATTCAGTCTTGATTGTCCTAGATGTGTGTGAATTGCAGATTTGCTCACAGATTCAAGGTTGCCGTTTATGGGCTGGCAAGATAGCCTGGCAATCTACTTCCAAAAAATCAGCCAAAGCAAACCCTGTGGATCACACAGTCTGATCCCATTGTGCATATGGTCTCCATGAGTTGGAGGTCAACACTACGGCAGCATACAACAAGAAGAAAGGAGCCCTGGTGACACAGTGTTTAAGTACTCAGCTGCTGATAATTGAAAGGTTGGCAGTTCGAACCCACCAGCCACTCTGTGGGAGAAAGATGTGGCAGCCTGCTTCCATAGGGACTACATCCTTGGAAACCCTATGGGGCAGTTCTCCTTTGTTCTATAGGGTCACTCTGAGTTGGAATCGACTCAGTGGCAATGGGTTTGGTTTGGTTTGGTTTTTAAGATGGCCTGGCAATCTGCTTCCAAAAAATCAGCCAATGAAAACCCTATAGATCATACTGTCTGATCCCATTCTGCATGAGGTCACCATGAGCCGGGGTCCAACTCTACAACAGATTACAACAACAACAACGATCGTCTCTACTCTTTAAATAATAATAGTAGAGATTCCTGGCCCAATAGATTTCTGAAATACGGTCCCTATCACCACATACATATGTGTCAATGTCTGTCTCTTTCCGCTCACAACTCTTCTCTCGATTCCTTTGACCTCAATAAGTTTAAATCTGGCCAAAAGTAGAATGGATAATACTACTGTGTATACAATATATATACGTGTATACAATATATTGAGGGACTAGAAGATTTTCCTTTTTGGGAACTGGAGAAGAGCCTGCTTTAAGTCCCGAGTGAAGTGTTGATTGAAGCTCAGTAGACCTTACACATGTCAAGAAAGACATACTGAGACTCAGATTCGCAAATGCACTAACATAATTCCAGCGTCCAACCCCTTAAATCCCTAAATGAACTCACAGCCATGTGGAGATGTGGATTTTGGGTAGTTGATTTAAGCTCACTTGTTTGCTCAGTGACTGTATTAGTTTCCTAGAGCAGCTGTAACAAAATATCACAGAAAGACTTTAAGCAAAAGAAATGTATTGTCTCACAGTTCTGGAGCCTGGGAGTCTGAGATCAGGGTATCAGCCATGTTGATTTCTTCTGAGGGCTCTGAGGGAGAATCTGTTCCATGCCTCTCTTCCCAGCTTCTAGTGGCTGTCAGTAATCCTTGATGTTCCTTGGCTTGTAGATGCATGTTCACATGGGTCTTCCCCACCTGTCTCTCTGTGTCTTGTCTCCTCTTTTATAAGGACACCCGTCAGATTAAATTAGGACTCACTCTACTCCAGTATGACCTCATGTTAACTTAGCTGATAACATCTTCAAAGACCCTATTTCCAAACAAGGTTACGCTTACAGGTACTGGGGTTAGGATTTCAACATACTTTTGTGGGGAACACAGTTCAATCCATAACAGTGACTCTCAGGTAAACATCATCCTGGAGGGACACATGATTCAAATAATGCCTCAGCAAGATGCCAAATTGCTATGTATCTGGACCTTTATGGAGAATCAAAATTTCAAATGTTATGTTCACGAATTTCAAGATTTGCCCGTGGCCAGAAGTGAGCAGAGGAAGAAAGCTTTAAGTCATCGAGGAAGCTGGAAGTGGACATAGATGAGTGATGCCCAGTAGTATCCATGTTTTAAAGAGACTGGCTTCAGAGAGATGGCTCATAATAACTGCAGGTGACCTATAAGTAGCACTTCAAGTTTACACGATTATTTTTATAATCGTGATCCTGATAGTAATTCTGCAAAGTATTATGATATTTGTTTGACATATGAAGAAACAAAGCCATGGCAAGTTAAGCAGGTTTTCTGAAGGATGTAGCTTGTAGGTTACTTCAGCCTGGGGTTTGCTGACCCCAAGCCAAGCTCTTCCTGCTTCCTTTCCCTCCATGTTCTTGCCATCATTCAGTAGCAATCTTGAGAAGTCCTTTCTTCATCCTAGAGTACACATTCTCTCCATTCAATGAGAAAAATCCAAGCTTCCTGGGAATGAGCTGCAGCCTGTTCAGGAGAGCACCTGGGTAGTAGGCAAAGGAGCAGGTGTGGAGAAGGTGACAGCAGTAGGGTTGAGGTCAAGGAAGTCTTGCCTTAAGTTCAGTGGCCTTTCCAATGACACATGGAAAGAGTCAGTAGGGGACAGGTAAGTGAAATGGCTGAGGACAAGTGAGAGTAGGTGAGGATCAGGACAAAACACTAGAGCCTAAGCATCTGCTCTGGAGACTTGGAATGAAGGGAGATGGAGAGCAGTAAGTGGAAGGGACAGCTGGAGGAGGTAAGACCCTTGGTAGAGAAACCAGGTGAGTCAAGCATGTGGGGCCTAGGTTATTGGAGGATGCAGGTATGTGCTAGGAAGACACTAGAATACGTGCATCTTTCTTCTCTCCCGACCTGCCACCACATAGCCCCTCACCCGGGCAGTCTCTGGGTTATTCACAAGTCAGCCTGTCCTCCTCATACTTTAGCTTGGCTGCAGAATCATGGGGCAGGCAGGAAATTCCACAGATCAGAAGCTGGCCTTTCCTTCCATTGGTATGCCAAGTGGGCTGTAGGAGGGCGATCTGTCCTGGGTGCAGGCAGTAAGGGGGAACACTATCTGTAGAAAATTTTTAAAAAATAATAAAACTGTCTAACAGATGGTCTGTTTTTTATTATCACTGTGTGCTGGGAATTCTAAACAATGTCAGTGATAAAATACGCATCCAGCAGAACCACTGCACCCCAACTTCCCCTTTTGCATGCCACTGCTTCCTTCTCCAAGCAGAATCACTGCTTCAAGCCTGCTAGTGAGTGGTCTCAGGGGAGAAATACGCTCCCTCCCTAAAAGAGAAATACACTCCCTCCCAACAGCCCAGTCACAGCTGCCTCTGCTGACTCCTCCCCACCCACCTCTCTGAGCTTCCTGCAGTAGCAGCAGCCGGAGGAAATGGGTATAAATGCAAAAGCCCCACAGGGGAGCACTGGAAAGACAGTTTTGAGGCTTCCAGCATTTTCTAAAACTGCTCTCAGCTCTCAGTTACTGCTCAGACGCCTACCTCCTGGGCTGTGATTCAGGTGGCTCTCACAGAATCATAGAACTGCAGTCTCAGTGTTGGAAGGAGCTGTGGACCACTTGTTCAGGGCCTTCTGGGATTTAGTCCTTTCTGTTGGGTCCTGGCCTTGTAGTTATCTAGCCTGTCCCCAGTGGGAAACCCACTACTTCTCTTGACGGTCAATTCCATCTGGGCCCCGACTATTAGAAAATTCTTCCATATTCTCAGATGAAATGTCTTTCTCCTCTACCCTGGTCCTAACCCTTTGGAGTCATATGGAGTAAGTCTAATCCATCTTCCACACAGTGACCTTCCACGTGTTCAAAAGCAACTCTCAACACTTGTCCACAAGTCTTCTCTTTTCTAGGCTAAAGCATCCCAGTAGAGTCTCCCACCATCCTGGTCACTGTGTTCTAGGGGCTAGCATGTTTCTCCATGAGAGTGAAAAGGGGCTTCTCTGTGTCAGACACTGTTCCTGTATCAGCTCATATCACCCTCTGAGGTGTTATGATTATCACCCCATTTATGGATGAGAAAACTGAGGCTCCCTAGCCAGTGGAACAACCGTTTGGCTGTGGATCCTGTTCTTAACCACCATGCCATAGGCTAGGTGCTGCAGGCCCTCACTGCATCTTTATACCTGGGATTCCCTGGCCTGCCTGCCTTCCTGTGTCTTGTGCCCTCTCTCCTCCAGGGGAGGTAGAGTGGTAAGAGGAGAGGTGTGACTTTCTTGCAGAAATCTCCTTCAGAGTGTGGATGTGTGGCGGCAGCCTAGAGATCATCCCCTGCAGCCGAGTCGGGCATGTCTTCAGGAAGAAGCACCCATATATTTTCCCGGATGGAAATGCCAACACTTACATAAAGTAAGTGAGCGTCCAGGGGCACAGGCGGCCATGGTCAAGAGGTTTTGGGTGATGGGTTGCAGCTGTCCCTGGTACTCTGTTCGGCTGCTTGAGTGTTCCAGGTGGACAGGAGAAGCACATTGCGCCCCCTGGGACAGCCTGAGTGGGAGGTCAACCCACCACACCAGGCATTAGGAATGGAGGCACCGCAGGGTATTTTCCATCATTGACTCCCCTAACACCAGATAAGGCCTCACATATGGCTTCAGGGACTTCAAGTCACTGGTCTGCACTGCCCCACCACAGCTCAGGTTCTGGGTATTTGGGGTTGTTTAGATGGGGATAGGGCAGCTGTTTTTGCCTATGAGTTCTAAAAGTTCTGCTGCTCCCACTTTCAGGGTGGGCAACTAGGGAGATACTGGAACTCAACCCCCCGACAGTACCCACTTGCCTGTTCCTGCTCCCACCTTCCCTCCATATGCCTTCTTTCCTCCATTTCTTTGCTTACAATCTTTTTCCTCTCCTTTAACTCATGTATGTCCCTTTTTTTTTTTTTTTTATATCCTTCCCTTTAGCTTCTCTGCCTTTCCTAATCCTCTTGTCTCTAATCATCTGACACCTTCACTCACCTATGTATTCCTCTTCCTTTTTCTGTCATTTGGTCCATTGGAGGAAAGGGAGTGTCTTAGACTGGGTTCTCTAGAGGAGTAAAACCAGTGACACGTATATGTATATTTATACAGAGAGAGAGAATAAGAGATTGATTTACTTCAAGGAAATGGCTCATGCAGTTGTGGAGGCTGGCAAGTCCCAAAACCATAGGTCAGGTAGCAGGCTGGAGACTTCTGCTGGCTCAGGAGATTGTAGACACTGGTGAATACAAAATCTGCAGATCAGGTGACAGGCCACACCCACAAGGAAACTCCCCTTTCAACTGATTGGCTGACCTCATCAGATCACACCATAGAAGGTGATCAACCTGTCCATTGTCTGCCAAACCACTGATGATCATAGTCTAGCCAAGTTGACACATAACATTAACCATCACAGGGAGAAAGCACCTCTTTACATTTTTCTTGTTTGAGATGTCATTTCCTCTCCTGTGTTCATCCTTCCTCAGTTTTCACACGTACAAATGGGTATGGGTCACATGCTGACATAGCAGTATTGAGGCATACGTTCGAGCAATGGAAAAATTAGCAACACCTTTTCAAAAACATGGAAGCAAGGGAAGGTCAATGAGAAAATCAGCGGCCAAGGAGCAAGGGAGGAAACAAAGGCAGGGCTGCGTGAGCTCTAGAGTTTTTAAGGAAGGAAAGAGAAGCTGGGGACAGCTGGTGTAAGAAAGTGATGTGGCTGTGCAGGAGCTACATGGCCACCTGGGAGGGGCCAGACTCAGAGCATTGTTGTAGAGACTGGGTCCTGGCCAATGGGCATCCTGCATGTGGCACAGAATACTCAATAAGCAAGGTACATACAGGCTGACTTGTGCTTACTTACTAATATGTAGTGCACAATTTCACCTGTTTTTCACCACATCAAAGCCCTTTCGTACCTTGCTTACTGATTACTCTGCCCCTGTGCATGCCCCCACCCACTGCCGACAAGTCAATTCCAACTCACAGTGACCCCATAGTATTTCCACGGTTGTAAATCTCTATGAAAGCAGACTGCCACATCTTTCTCCCATGGAGCCGCTGGTGGTTTCGAACCACTGACCCTTTGGTTAGGAGTCGATCACTTTAACCTCTGCCCCACCAGGGCTCCTTCTGTACATGGCACTGGTGGATAATTCAGTGGTTAGAGGAATGTGGCACGGATGTCTCTTAAGATTCCAATTTGCAGATGGTCAGGCCAATGGATGGTTAGGCCAATGGTAGGGGCCAGCAAGGTTCTGTTAATGGGCTTTGATGTGTCAAGAACTGGACTGGGCATACAGAACTCCAGTCCAGGTCCAGCAGCTTGGAAGGGCTTACCATGCTTCTCTGTCAGATGCCTCTGCTCCAAAACAGAACTAGAAATCTAGAGGAGGAGTAAGCCCTTTCTAGTTAGACCCCAAGTTTGCTTCCATGGTCCTTGGCAGATGTCACCTGCTCCCACACTGCTCTGGGCACGTTTGTTCCCAATATCTTTCCTCTCTACTGTGGGGCTCTTCCTGGTACTTCTGCATCCCTGACTGCTGAATGATGACATCCTCAGTGTCCATCTGTCTCTTTTTCTGTGACCTTTAGGGTCAGGCTCAGAAAAAATATCTGATTAAAAAACCTAAAGCCTGCTGACAGAGTACCTGAAAGAGACGGCTTGATTACTTAATCCTTTACACCTGCCCCAAGGAGGCCTGCTAATTGCATAGCCTTCAGGAAGACCTGACACATAGCTGACTTTACCCTTGGAGAGCCTGTGACTTCAGCATTGCCCCTGTGTAAAGGGGGACCACCTGGGAGCGTGAGCCGGTGGGAGATCAGAGGTGAGATACTCAACACAGCTGCTGCTTTTTCACTCTTGGTTGCTGGCAGCAAAGGGATGCTGCAGGCTCTCCTGGCCCTTTTCTCCCTGTTTTTATGAGAGCCACAGAAGTTCAGTTTCTGGCATGATTCATCTGGCCTGTACCTTTGGGGGAAGAGTTTATTATACTAAACCCTATGTCTTTGGGTAGAAGCCACCTTTGGAGATTATATGTGGCTTGGCTGGGTTCAGGGCTGGGAACAATAATGTTAGTATATCACAGTGGTTCCACAGGGTGGATGCCTAGGTGATGCTGCCCACTTGGCCACATGTGTATATTTTTAACAGAATATGTCACAGGTCCTCTCTGCCCCTTCCTGACACTCTTTGTCTCTCTAGGAACACCAAGCGGACAGCTGAAGTATGGATGGATGAATACAAACAATACTATTATGCTGCCCAGCCTTTTGCCCTGGAGAGGCCCTTTGGGAAGTAAGTGTCCTTCAGGTTAAGTAGTACAGAGTCAGGAAAAACCCGTGGGCCCCTGGCAAACGGGTAACAAGCTTATCTGCTAAGGAGATCCTGTCTACTTAGCAGGTTCTTCCTGAGCCTCTGTGCTCTGCCAGGGCCCAGGGGAATGGCTAGTCTTCCTTCCCAGCCTTATAGCTTCTGCTCCATCCTGGGACCACCGAGCTTTAGGTAGTTCTTGTGAAATTATTATCTGGCAACATATGTGGAGTTGAATTCTTTCAGAAAGGTAGAATGCTGGATGAAACGCCTAGATCCCTTCCAGGTCAGTATTCCTGAGGCCTTCCTCCTTGTTCTCAGACACCCAAGCCTAAATTTTCCTTCTTCTTCAGAATAGGATGCATACAGATGATCCCTCCAGCAATACTCCAGCCTCATGGGGAGAGAAGAGGAAAGGGAAAGAATGCTTATTAACACTCATTACCATTACATAAGTTATCTCATTAATCCTCCCAAAACTCTGAGAGGTGGGTTAATGATCCTTACTTTACAGATGAGAAGACTTGGGCTTAACCAAGTTAAGAAACTTGCCCTAGGTCACACACTGTTAAGAGAAGGGTGGAGACTCAAAACCATGCCTATCTGTGATGGAAATTTTGGTAACGGATATGTACACATGAAAAATGTTGAACTGGCAAATGTGTTACATATGTATTTTTTACAATAAAAAAGTTGAGACATGGGACTAAACCAGAAGTTTCAAACAAACAAAACAAAAAACCATACATATATGATTCTGAAACAATACGACCTTGCATCTCACAACCTGGAGCTGACTTGAGTAGAGAAAAATGGCAACTTCATTTATGTTATCATTTGCATTTATTTGGGGGTAACCAGTGACTAGTCACATACTAATCACATGAAGACTGTTTAGCAGATAGGTTTTTTGAAACCCAAAACTTCACTGGTTGGGCCCATCACTACCTTGGAAGATTAGCTCTGAACAAGCCAAAATGATTTCCACCTCTGAAATCATGAATTCATCCTGTCCCTCCAGTTCTCTCACTCAGAACCTCCCAAGGCATTCATTTTCACATCTCATCAGAGCTTACAGTCCATTGGCCACCCATCCTTTCTTTGCCTCCTTCCCTCTCTTTTAATTTTTTTGTTGATACTATGTGTTCTCAGTAATGCAGGGCACACTGAATCATTGGCTGTGTCTGAATTTTTGGTAGGTAATATGGTTTTTGTTTTATGCCTCATTCCATAAATCATACCCTCAGAGTCCAGAGGTACATATGTTACTAAATATTTTCAAAATTCATGTTTTTACTACCAAAAATTCAATGTTTCAGCACCACCTCATACAATACCCTGTAAAAACAGTAATTCACATCACATGCCTGATTTTTCCATTTCAAACTGTTATATGGGACCCCTCCTGCTGGCAGCACGTACTGTCAGTGGGCCAGCAGCTTCCCAATGAACTGCAGAGGTACAAAAATTAAGTGGTAGCTATATATACTGCCAGTTCTGAAAGGGTTAAAGACAGTGCTTAAAAGATCTTGTCCTTATATCTTTGGCCCCATTGTCTATCTATCAGTATCCCCTTGGCAAAGTTTTCTCAACCCTGGATAAACCTGACTTTCTACCTTATCCTCCACTGTGCACAGGCTGATGAGCAGCACTGGGAAAACTCAGTCCATGGCCATCAGTTTTGGTGAGGCCGCAGAATGCCCACTGGTCCTGCCACTTACCTAGCCAGCATTCTGCCTCAACCTCCACTTAAACATCCTCTACTCTCCCTAAACCCTCCCCATCTCTTTTCACCCTCAGTAGATGACCCACCTTCTGCTTTATAGATGAAATAGAGGAAATCAACTTCTAAAACAAACCAACCTATCAACTTCACTGCATCTGCACCACCTTCTCTCTTTTCTCTCAAAGGGCAGAATGTGCTTCCTGCTGTTAGGCCAACCCTCTACCAGTACTCTGGATCTGCCATTCATTCCTGCATTCATTCATAAATCAACATTTATCAAGCACCCCCTGCCTGGTTTCATCTCCTCCTGCCTCCTGGAGCAGAGCTTCTTGAACTTTTATGTATACACAGATCTCCTGGGGACCTTGTTAAAATGTGGGTTCTGATTCAGAAGGTCTGCATTTCTTATAAGGTCCCAGATAATGCAGTGCTGAGGACCATAATTTGAGGAGCAAAGTTCTAGGGGTTGGTTCCCAAACTTGTCAGCACATTGGAATTACCTGGGGAACTTCAAAAAAATATGATGCCTGTGTCCCCACCTCCAAAGAGTTGATTTACTTGGTCTGGAGTGTGGCCTGTGTTGTGGAATTTCTAAAGAGCCTCAGATGATTCTAATGTGTGACAAGTGTTGGAACCACTCTTCTAGGGAACTTTGCCTTTCAGATGACAGTTCTTGCCCTGATCTCTAATCTCTTCTCTACTGTATCTCTACCCTCAACATTTAAACTTATTCAAGTATTTTACATCTTAAAAAAATAATAATAATAAGGAGGAAAGAGAACAAACTACAAAATCCTCCTTCACTTCAGTGGGTGCCCATCACCTGCACCCCTGTGCCTTTCTGCCCCTTCAGAGCCAAGCTTCATGACACAGTTGTCTGCGTTCCCTGTCTCCAGCTCCCCCTGCTCCTTACTCGTCTCCTGACAACCATATGAGGACTTGCCCCACAATCCTGTGAGACAGCTCTGCTCACCTCCCTGGTTCACCTATGTCTCCCTCGGACCTTTTACCATCATACTCTTATGCTACCTCTCAGCATCTAACACTGTGGGCTCTATCGCCACCCTGCTCTTCAGGCGTGGCTCTGATACCCAGAATTTCCTAACTCTGCATTCTGGGCTTCTCACCCGCAGTCAGACCCCTGTAGCTTGCTCCCATTTGCAGGCTCAATTTCCTCTCCCCACCCCTTGCATGTCGGTGTTCCCCAAGGACCTGTTATAAGCCCTCTTCTCTTCCTACTACACATTCTGTTTGGTGTTGACCACCATGTCTGTGCTGCTGATACTCACATCTCTATCTCTAATCTAGCCCTCTCCTCTAAGCTTAATCCCTTCCATCCAAGTGCCACCTGGACATCTCCATCTGAATGTCTCCCAGGCTTCTCCCTCCATCCTACCAAGTCCTATACCAATTTTGCCCCTAAACTTGTTTCCCATCTCAGTGAACTGTCTTCCTTGTATCCTGTTGCCCATGTCAGAAATCTAGTGTCAACTTTGATTCCTCCCTCCCATATCCAGACACTCTCCCAGTTGGTGATACTGCCTCCTGCAGGCGTTGACCACTTGGGTCCTTGCCAAACACTGAACACTCAGCACTTTAAACAAATTGACATCAGCTTATAGTCTGGTGACGAAGGCAGGCTGTAAACACATAATTTTATGGACAGTCCTTTAAATAGCCAGTGTGGTTAGTGCTATGTAAGAAGTTCTGGTGCTTGAGAGTACCAATCCAGTCTTGGGGACAGGGTCGCCAGAGGAAGTGGAGGTAGAAGGAGGTGAGACTGGCAAGGTATGGATGGAACTGGGGTAGGTGCTGGTAGTGCCAATGGAGAGAAGTGGAGGGATTTGCACCTGTCAGTTCTCTGTACTCTCACCCCAACTGCCCTACTTGAAAGTACCATCAGCACCTGGATTTCACCAGCAGACACCTATCTGCTCTCCTTGTCCCCAGCCTTGCCCCATCAGACCCATTCCTCACTGAACCAACAGTAAGATGCTTTTAAAATTTGAATACTACTCTCTGCTCAGAACCCAACAATTGCATCCCCTTGCCTTTAAAATAAAGTCCAAAATCCTCGACAATGCCTCGCAAGACCCTTTATGGTCTGTGTCTCAATCTCTCATCCTACCCACTTCCCTCTTCAACCACCCCGCCACATACATTCACATACACACATGTTTTAAGCTCCTATAGTGCTGCTCCTGCCAACAGAGCTCTTTTCGCTTCTTTACATGCACTAAGTTCTCTTTGTTATTTTCCCTGCTTGTAACAGAGACCCCTACCTTATACACTTTCTGATTTGTCTAGATAGCATCCACTCTTCCTTCCACATACCAGCTTCCACATTGCCACCTGGACCACCACCAACCCATCAAGCAAGGGTACACCTCAAAGGTGCTCACAGCCCTGTAAGCCCACCCTGTGTCCATGTACAGTGTGTTTCATTGCCTTCTCTATTGCTTGAAAGCTTTCGATCATATCCCAGGGTGGGAACAATGCCTGGCATATAGTAGGCGCTCAGATAAATATTTGATTAACAGATACATAACCAGCCTCCCGGGCCAGCCAAAGAAGAGGATTCTTAGAGGCTGGGGCCATGGGGGTGATACTGTGACAGCAGAATCCAAAGAGATTGTGAATAGCTGGGAGTGAACTATTAACAACACAATGAATGTTCTTGCAGCTTTGTTTTTGAAATTCCATTTTCAAGTTAACATACAAGTCCTTGGTGTCATTACTGCACTGTTGTGAGATATTTTTAAGTGTTTCCATAGCTCTGTCTGGAGCTATAGAAATCTCTGCTTGCTGAATTCCTCCAGCATCCTCTGGAGAGATGTGGGCACAAAGTGTGGGCAGATTGCGCTTTGTGCCCCCCAGCTTAAGCCGGTGTTGCTGGTGCCTGTCTCTGATACACTGTGTTTTGTCGTTGTGTCTCCCCACCCCCAGCGTTGAGAACAGATTGAACCTGAGAAAGGATCTGCAGTGTGAGAGCTTCAAGTGGTACCTGGAGAATGTCTACCCAGAACTCAGGTATCCTCCCAATCTCGTTGATCCTTTGCTAGCTGCTGGGAGGCATTCTCAGCTGATTTGGTCTGGAGGAAGCAGCTTGTGGTCACCTTGTGGAAGGTGTTAAGTCTATGAAGGTCTGGGAAGACTAGTTCACTTCCCTTACCCTAAAACCAGAGGGGAATTAAATTTCATCAAGGTTGTTTTTGTTGGCTGCTTTTGAGTTGACCCCTGACTCATGGTGATCCCATACACAGTGGAACGAAACTCTGCCTAGTCCTGCACTATCCCCATGATCGATTGTGGATCCACAGGGTTTTCCTTGGCTGATTTTTGGAAGTAGATTGCCAGGCCTTTCTTCCTCATCTGTCTTAGTCTATTTCCTGCATAAAGGCAAGAATCCTACTACTGAACCACCAATGCCCCCTATATTTCATCCATAGCCTGAGGGATTTAGGATAGCTAGTAGCAGTATTTCTCAACTCTTGGGGTCTTGAACCCTGGGTTGCAATCTGAGGGCATGGGCTCACTGACCCTGGCTCCATTCCAGAAATCCCATCTACCCTTGTGTCTCATGGGTCTTTGCTTGTTGCCTTGTTCAAACTGACTTCCACCCTTCCCGCAGCAATACACATAGGTACAACGCAGCCCAATGAGATGCCCTGCCATTCTCAAATCACTGTCCAACATCTGTTGCTGGTGTTACCACCCAAAGAGCAGTGGATCCTCACATATCCTGTGACTTTCCTCTAGGATCCCCAAGGACTCCTCGATCCAGAAGGGCAATATCCGGCAGAGGCAGAAGTGCCTAGAGACACAAAAGCGAAAAAACCAAGAGATCCCCAACCTAAAATTAAGACCCTGTATCAAGATCAAAGGCGAGGAAGCAAAGTCGCAGGTAAAGTAACTGGCTGGGATACAGGACTATGTGTGCCAGAGAGAAGGGAGGCAGCCCATCACTGGTCAGCCTCGATTTACCTGATTTTACATGACATGAGGTGCTCAATTATACCAGAGACCAGCGGAGCATGAGAAGTGTGATTCCCGCTCTGCAACTGCCTTTACTCCTCTTTGTTTCCAAGTGCACAGAATTTCTCTGAAAGATGGCGTAAGAAGCAGCATCGTGCCTATAGAAAATTGCCCATTAAATTAGCAGGAGGTTAATGAGTGTTTTGTTAGCACTAAACGTGGGCTGGGTCAGGCAGGGTAGGTGACATAGCTACCTTACAAATATGAAAAGAAAACAGAGAAGTGCATGCCTCTGGGAGCTAGCCTCCAGGATGAAATGCCTGGTATGTGAGTCTCCACAGATTTACTCCGACTTCCAGGTAGTCACAGATTTGGCAAAACCATCACCATCATCTGCTGCCCCCATCTCTGGACAGTGCCTCCTTCATACCCATCTTCCCCTCAGCAGGCTTCTGGCTCCAGAAGCTATCTTCTGCTTCCCTCAAGTCCAGAAGAGCTGGTGTAGCCCCTTCTCAGAAAGGTTTGCTTGTGCTTTACTTATTCATCCAAGGGGTCAGCCTCTGTTCTGCTCTCCCATCTGTGGATGGAACTGCTCTTTTAAAGGTCACTGCCAAGTCCACAGCCCTGTCTCAACCTCTGTAATGCTTACTAGTTGCCATCCAGTTGACTTCAACTCATTGCAACCCCGTGTGTCCAAGTAACACTGTGCTTCATGGGGTTTTCAGTGGCTGATTTTTCAGAAGCAGATCACCAGGCCTGTCTTTCAAGGCACCTCTGGGTGGACTTGAACCTCCAACCTTTTGGTTAGCAGCAGAGCAAATTAACCACTTGCGCCACCCGGGGACTCACTGTAGCACTTAGCACTGCTGAATGCAGTAAAGCACATCCACTGTGGAATTCCTCTCCTGGCTTCTATGGCACCACATAATCGTGATTTTCCTACTTTCCTATTCTTTCCCTCTCTGGTCTCTTTTCTGGCTCCTCTGCCCGATTCTCATACCGTAATGGTAGGTATTCACCAAGGTTCTTAGTACACTGTTCTTTTCTCTTTCAACTGTTTCTGGAGATTTTATCCATGCTTCCAGCTTTGGCACTCTATTTCATTAATTGACAAATTCTGTATCTTCTTTCATCCATGAATTTGCTCATTCATTAAGCAAACATCTATTGAGCACCTACCACATCTGAAGGTCTGTGCTGACTGTGATGATGCAGAGATTAAGACTAGTTTGTAGGCCTCAAACACTGCTCAAGAGTGCAGAAACAAGCAAAGAAGCAGCCATTATGATATAGTTTCTTTCCAGGATAGTTTTCTCTAGGGCAGTATAGAAGCACCAAGAAATGGCATCCAAATTATGCTTCAGGATCAGGACGTCTTCCCAAAGCTCTTGAAAAAAGCTGCATCCTGAAAGATGGGTAGAATTGGGCCTGGCCAGGAAGGGAGAAAGAGCAGCCCAGGAAATACAGCCTGTGCAAAGACCTGGAGATGAGAGCAGGGTGATAACTTTGAGGGCTGCAGAGAGCTTGTGGTTGGCAGGGTGATGTGGGAGGGAGAAGTGCAAGGTAAGGATGGAGAGAAGCAAGAACCAAATGGTCTCTTTGCCATATGAGGAGGCTGAGTTTTATCCTAAAGAGAGGGATACTAACTGATCCCAGGAGAGGGCTTGGAAAATCACAGGTTTGCACTGAGATCCCCTGCCTGGGCTCTCCCTCTCAAACATTGGGCAACTGAGTGAGTCCGCAGCCACATCAAATTCATGCTGTAATTCAAGTCAACAGGTAGGTACTGACCACCTGTTAGGCACCCCAGCTGCCTCCCCATCTTGACCCTACTAATTCTCTCCATGTGTCCACCCTCTCCCAGGCACTGATGTTCCAATCTGGCCTATTGCTTGTGGCTCATCTTTCTCCAGTATTTCCCATTTCTGTACAGTTCCATCAATTCTTCCTTCAGAATAGCTGTTCTTAGACCCTGTGTTCACTTCTTCATGCTAGCTCAGAATTCCCCAACATTGACACTATTAACAGTTTGGGCCAGATAACTCTTTGTTGTTGAGGTGGACCTCTGCATTGTAGATAGTTTAGCAGCACCCCTGGCTTCTACCCACCAGAGGCCAATAGCAAGTCCCTCCTCCCAATTGTGATGATCAAAAAAAGTTTCCAGACATTGCCAAATAACCCATGGGAGACAAATAACTCTGGTTGAGAACCATTGCCTTATACTGTGGCATCAGCCTCCCAGTTGCAACCCAAGCCCTGCCTCCCAGCCCTGCTCTTCATTTCCTACTTTACACATGATCACCAAATCATTGTTCCCAAAATGCCATCTCAGTACAGCCTTCAGTGGCTCCCCATTTTCTACTACAAAAATCCAGACTCCTCTCGGACCTGGTATCTGTGACCTCTCACTGCCTGGCTCCAGCTTGCCACGGCTTTCCCAGCAGAACAGGGGAGGGAACTGCCTCAGTAGGCTAGGATAAGGGCAAAGGAAGCAGAAGTGTCCATTTGGCCTTAGGTGTGGCAGCTCAGCTGAGAATGACACAGTTGCTCAAGTGACATCTTGCAACATATTACAAGTAGACAGCTGTCTTAGCCTGGGTTCTCTAGAGAAGCAAAACCAGTGAAGCGTGTGTGTGTATATGTTGTTGTTGTTAGGTGCCGTGAAGTCGGTTCTGACTCATAGCAACCCTGTACAACAGAACAAAACACTGCCCAGTGCTGTGCCATCCTCACAATTGTTGTTACGCTTGAGCTAGTCATTGCAGCCACTGTGTCAATCCATCTCGTTGAGGATCTTCCTCTTTTTCGCAGACCCTCTATCTTACCAAGCGTGATGTCCTTCTCCAGGGAATGGTCCCTCCTGATAACATGTCCAAAATATGTGAGACGAATTCTCGCCATCCTTGCTTCCAAGGAGTATTCTGGCTCTACTTCTCCCAAGACAGATTTCTTCATTCTTCTGGCAGTCCATGGTATATTCATTATTCTTTGCCAACACCATACTTCAAAGACATCAATTCTTCTTTGGTCTTCCTGATTCATTGTCCATCTATCACATACATATAAGAAGATTGAAAATACCATGGCTTGGGTCAGACACACCTTAGTCCTCAAAATGACATCTTTACTTTTTAGCACTTTAAATAGGTCTTTAGCAGCAGATTTGCCCAATGCAATACGTCATTTGATTTCATGACTGCTACTTCCATGCGCATTAATTGTGGATCCAAGTAAAAAGAAGTCCTTGACAACATCAATATTTTCTCCGTTTATCACGATGTTGTTTATTGGCCCAATTGTGAGGATTTTTGTTTTCTTTATGTTGATGTGCAATCGATAATGAAGGCTGTAGTCTTTGATCTTCATCAATAAGTGCATCAAGTCCTCTTCACTTTCAGCAAGCAAAGTTGTGGCATCTGCATACTGTAGGTGGTTAAAGTGTCTTCCTCCAATCCTGATGCAGCATTCTTCTGTGTATAGTCCAGCTTCTCTGATTATTTGCTCAGCATACACACTGAATAAATATACTGAAAAGATACAACCGTGACACACACCTTTTTTTTTTTATCTTAATATTTTATTGTACTTCAGGTGAAGGCTTACAGAACAGATAGTTTCTCATGTAACAGTAACACACATGCTGTT